TGACTCTCAGGTTTCAACATTTGGGAAACAGTGATGCTCTAAACTTTGTTGTTTTCAGTGATGCTTCCCTTGGAAATCTCCCTGATAGGGGCACACAGGGGGGGGATATTGATTGGTCTCATGGGAGGAGGAGGGAAGTTTTCTCCTCTCTGTTGGCAATCTAAGAAAATTAGACGTGTGGTGAGGAGTACTCTGGCAGGGGAAACTCTGGCCCTGTCAGATGGAATAGATAATGCCATTTTTCTGACTACTCTCTTTTCTGAACTTACTACTGGAAATGCTGAGCTGAATACTCCTCCGTTGATCTGTGTGACAGACAACCACTCTCTGTTTGATGCCCTTAAGTCAACAAAACGGGTCTCTGAGAAACGTCTTCGACTGGAAATAAGCACCATAAAGGAGCTCATACAGAGTAAAAGAATCAAGAAGGTACTCTGGTCGTTCACAAAAACTCAACTCGTTGACTTACAAAAAAAGGAGCGTCGGCCCTGATGTTATTGAAAGTACTCAGTGAAGGACTATGGTGCTATTGAAAGCACTTAGTTAAGGACTGGGGACACTTATTAATAAAAAATTAAAAAAGGAGTGGAAAGAGGTTTATTTGAAAAAAAAAAAAAACTCAATATTTTCAATCGGATATACATTTCAATTTTTTTTGGTAACTAATCTTTGTTTTGTATGGTTTTTTTATTTATATTTTCTTTTTTTAAAGTATAGGGAGATTGTTAACATGTTATTTCCTCCCTACTCTGTTCACATGGAAGAAGGTTCTTCCGGGTTAAAAATGAGGTTAGCGCATGCGCTGGTTCAAAGGTGAGCGCGTGGGTAAAAAGGGGGCATTGTTGTAGAGGAACCGTGTTGAACGGTGTTGGATATGTAAGCGAAGTGATGAAAGGAATAAAGTGCGTTAACTGAGTAAACGTCATGTTTATTTGATTTAACAGACGGTGTGCAGTGCTCGGGGTGGTGACTGAAGGTGGTGACTGAGTAGTTCTGACGTCACCTTTTTACGGAAGTCACAACGGTTCGTGAAAAATCACAGCTACTTTATGCAGGATGTGTGCATTTGACTTTGGATTGACTGTTTTGAAATTTATCTGGTAGTTACATAGCACCTAGACCTCATTTATCATGAAAAAAGCCTGGAAATTTCAGTTTTGACAATATGGGACCTTTAAGGATTGTTGTGGTCAGCTGACTCTTGAAGGTTTTGATATTCTTCATATTCTGAGTGGTCAGTTCACAGCAGTGATAGAAATGAATGTTTTCCAATAAGTTTAAATTGGTTTTTACATTTTATGGACATTTTTACCTTTAAAAAAGCCATCTAAAAGTGTTCATCATCCTTTGAGCCAAATTCTTACATTTAATCAGTCATTTAGAATAAAAAAGACATTTGGGCTGTTACCAAGCAAATGAAATGAGTATCAACAAAATTCATCTTTGCAATGCAGAGGAAACACAGAAGCTGCATCTGGCATTTAGATATATTACATGGTTTATTTCAGGACAACCTGCAGCTACAGTTAATGCAGGCATAAAAAACATGGAATGGGCTACTCATATTTGAAATTATTTTAAAAAGTAAATAAATAAAAAAATACTTTAAATAAAATGTCTATGACAAAAAAACTCATCTGCATCTTGGATTGCCTGAGGGTGAGCAAACTGTAATTTTTGGGTGAACTATTCCTTTAATGAATATAAGGGTTACCTGAGCGTCCAGCTCCATGATGTGAGCTACTTTATTCCACCCAAACCCCACAAAGCGCCGGTCGTACTCTGGGCTTTCTCTTCTGACCATAACATACGGCTCAAAGTCGGCCTCCCACTGAACTCGGTATGGTGTTGTAGCAGTTCTCCATTTGGCAAAGTCTGTTGGAGCGTGACCTTTTGTCCAGACATGATATCTGTGGACAAGCAAATTACAAATTACAAATTACTTTATTAAGTCAATATTAACTTTATTAAGTAAAACTGTCAAGAATTTTCTAAATAAATTCATTAATAAATACTATTCAGATTGGTTGGTTCAATCAAATAATTTATATTAACTGATATAAAAAATCATGAATGATTCCGTCACATCAGAGAAAATCTCATCTGCCATTACTTTTGAATTACTTTGATTTTTTCTCAAAAACTCTTAAGAGTAATCACCTGAATGTGAACAGAGTGCCCATGTCAAGCTGTGACAGGAGCTCTGCTTTTGATTTGGGAAAGGACAGCCGATAACGCAGAGTTTCAAATGCCGGAACCACAAGAGCCTTTTTAGTGTTCCCCATATCAAGCTGAACAACCGATTTCCTGAGACAGAAACAAGATGGATTACTTGTGGAATGGATTGTACTCTTGTTCACAACCTAAGAACATTTTGTTGGCACCAAAAATGAAAAACATGCTTTAATATACAGTACATGGGTTGAAACTCTTGTATTTCTTCCGATTTCAGAGCAAAATGAGTTTTCCAATCAGCTTTCATCAGATACAATAGCATTCACTTAGTATCTTACTATACTTTGTTTGAAGCAAACATGCACTACAGAGTTTGTTTTGAGTTGCAGATCTGTGTACGATTTTCTCCCCTTAAAGTGACAGTACCAGAATTTACTCCGTTCCTATGAAAATTATGGGTATCAGTTGTGAGATGAAAGCAAAATTGACCAACAATGTTTTACCAATGTAAATTTAGCTTTTCTCACCTGAGGTACTCATAGAGTCCATACATGGGCAAAAAGTCAATATCCGACAGAAACATATAGGGTGTGTTGACCTGCCCCATAGCAACATTACGCAGCAGGTTAACAGGGTAGAACTGGCCTTCTTTATAGACTATGTGGTATCCCACGTTGCTCCTGCTCATCAGGACCTCAGAGCCCTGAGCGTATCGCAGGAACTGCTGGGCTTCAGCATCTGAGAGGTAGAGGGCCAGACTGATGGGCCCTTCCCAGTGTTTACAGATGGCCTCTAGCATCTGAAGTCTGGAACAAAGAAACACTCCAGTAACTGACCAAAAATATATAATATATACAATTTTATACAGTGGGTCTGAAGCAACACACATTTGGTTTATATCCTTTTGCTTCAATGACAAAAGCACTGGTGCTGACGTGAGCAGTTTTGGAGCTCATACTGGATATATTTATCTTATTTGTCAGCATATCATTCCTACGTACCTTATGGTGTTTACATAGTAAAAAACTGTTATTGATAACTTTACGTTTATTTCACATAATGTGAAAAAATTGTGTGGTTCATTGTGATACAGCATATTAAGTTTGTGCGGCAAGTTAATTGGTGTACCAATAAATAATTTTATAGAGCATTCAAATTTTTATTCATGTATAGTAAAAAGATTCTTCAGAACTGAGCATAACTAAAAATATATATATATAAATCGCTACAGAGTTTTCAGACCTGATCATACCCTAATATTTCCAGGTTATCTCAAAACTGTGGAAAAGTATACACAATAGTTTAACATACTAAATGGACTACAATTCTGTCCCTCAGAGCCTCACTTTCATTCAAGTCAAACTAGATGTGGCATCTACTCTGACAGCCTTATTGCCCTTGAGTGCTGTAACTTGGCTGTCAAAGAGGTTATGCCCTCAAAGATGACAATGAATTGTATCCCACAGTGTTGACAAGGACGATAACCCTCTGCCACTGGCACTGACTGATGCGTAGGTTATCTGGGATTCTGGAGTAGCCCATACATGCCTGACTAAACAACCAAGGCTCATTACACTGATCACAAAATCTGTGAAGCTTTGACTCAATACATTTGAATCAGGTTTATTTCCAGAAGCAATTTGCCAGTTAATGTCATTAGTGTGATTAATGATGACAAAGCAGCTTAATTTAAATGAGTTCAGCCCAAAGCGTGAATGCCACTGAGTATGATCAGAAGTAGATTATAGGATACAGTGTGGTTCATTTAGCAGCAAACTAATCTCAGTGTTCATTTACAACATTAACACAGCCACTGTTACAGTTGCATGTTTATTCAGTTAAAATAATATTCCATTTCCTTTGCATCAACAAAACTGTAGGACTTATGATTAGATGAACCATTTTGGGCCATATCTATGAAGTCCCTAAAGTAACATTTGTCATTAAGGACCTTTGAAAGCTTTTAAAATCTTCAAAAACATCCAATTAAAACACCAACAATATTTATATTATATTATCAGTCATGTTATTAAGGACCTTTGAAAGCTTTTAAAATCTTAAAAAACATCCAATTAAAACACCAACAATATTTATATTATATAATCAGTCATGTTAGAAAATACAGAACCCTTAACGTGAAACCGTCTTTCACATGTGCACAAGAAAATTTCACACAAAAATACAATTAAATAAGCACTTTACATAGACAAAAGTTGTTGTTGTTTTTTTGTGGCACCGCAATAGTTACATGTGAGGGCTCCCTATATAGACTTATTTAAAATAACTGCCAATTTTATTAAGAATCATTCCAGAAATATTGTTTATGAATTTACGATACAATTGAAAAACAGAATGCAATTAAGGACCCGGCTGAAGTCTTACTCAAGGAATATTCCATAAGTTCAACTGACAGCATGATAGCGAGCTGGTGTATAACAATATTATTAGTGTTCACATTATGAGATTTTCAAGCAATGATACGGTAACTGTCTCAGAAAATACTGTTGTCATTGGTCAGCGTTTTTTTCACTGACTGAACATGTTCAAAATGTTTTGTTTTTTTCTCAGATCATGGAATGTTTGAAAAATAACATACAAAAATCTGGTGTTGGTCTGTGTCTGTCAGTGTAGTGTGAATTAGTCTAAAGAGCACAAAAGGGACAATTATTGTGTGTTGTCAAGTCAACAAGTCTGAAGGAAAGTAGATGCGTATGCACAGGTAAGCTTCTCTGTCCAGTTGTGTTTTTGGTCACACTTTATTTTAAAGGGGTCAGCAGATGGCAATTTTCCACAAGATGATATGATTCTTTAGGGTCTTAATGAAAAGTCTATAACATTGGTTAAAATTTCTCAATGGTAGTGTAAAACAACACCCTTTTTACCCTGTCAAAATCAGCTCTGTTTTCAGTAACCTGTTTTAGTGCATGTTCCTTTAAATGCACTAAAACGCATTTTCCTTCAATAAGATCAGAAAAACTGTTAGCAACAAAAAGACAAGACCTAAATCCACTGTAAAATCATGATTTTAACCAGCCTGTGAGCATTTGACTGTGGATTGACTGTTTTGAAACTTATATGGTAGTTACATAGCACCTAGACCTCAGTTATCATGAAAAAGGTCAGGAAATTTCAGTTTTGACAATATGGGACCTTTAAACATGGGACAAACTGAAATTACTTTTTGTTAATCAACATTATGCCACAAATGTTGTCGATTGACCTTAACTTGTATAAATTAACCCAAATATCCTCAAAGCCTCCTTTTAGCATTATGTATTAAATATCTGTTGGTGAGGTGATTTGTGCGCTATTGGTGTCTTTATAGAAAGTAAATGCAAGTATGTTTTCTTACCTGTCCATAGACAGCTGGGCCACCAGTGTCACGTCAGTGTTATCTAAGGCTGGTTCGTACTCATAGTGCAGGAAATAGACATGTGTGCGGTGGACTGTGAAGCGCTCCCGACGAAACTCATAACATGGGTCATCTTCATCCAGCTCAGACAGGGTCTTTTGGAGCTGCAAGGATATTAAGAAAACAAGTGTTATTCCATCATGCTGCCTGAACAAAGGAATCATTGCAGACCTCTGCAACATGAAGCACAGTGCAGTGAAACTCACATTCTCTGAGTTGTGGTCTGTTTCGCTGGGACAGCCAAAGAGCTCTCTCCTCAGCAGATTCCCATCATACTCCAGAAATGTCAGATAGAGATTCCTGAAGAACTCCACGTGTTTGTTCTTTACACGCAGTTTCTTCGGAGAGTTCCAGTGAATCACCTGCACAATCAGATGCAGAAGTTCACAAATGTAGACCATGCTTGACCTCTGTCTCAAACTGAACTGCTTGTGTTTCTTTTTGTAGAAGAAACATTTCTACATTAAGCACACATGTATATACGAGGTGTTTGTCCTGACAGCTAATCATAAAATTGTTGTTTGTCAAATTGTTGTTTGAGTCAGCTCCACAGTGATGTCACCTTGAGGTCGGACACATCTTTGTAGCACTTTTCGGAGCGGGTGTGATCCGACAGCTGCACATTCCAAAAGCAGGGCAGCTGGTGCACCAGGAATGGGTTCTGCTTGATCACAGCGTTGAAGATGTCCTGCAGGCACAAAGTTATTCTAAATTACTCTACGGCTGCTAGTTTATTAGACCTTTTAGCAAAATTTTTCTTAATTTAATCACCTTGATTAAATGGTCCTGATTATTTACACACAAATCTTAATTTATATTATTTACTTATCTTATTTATCAACAATTCTTCTCCCCGAGTTACCGTCTTTTGCCATTTCGGAGAGTATCCCAGAACATTATCAAAGACGGTAACTCAGGGAGAAGAATTGTTGAATAAATTATATTATTATTGTTTTTTTCCACACAAAAAGTATTCTCGTAGCTTCGTAAAAATTACGGTTGAACCCCTGATGTCACATGCACTATTTTAACAATGTCCTTGCTACATTTCTGTGCCTTGATCGTGGTAGTATCCTTGCTGTCTATGGCGGGTCAGAGAGCGCTCAGATTTCATAAAAACTATCTTCATTTGTGTTTCGAAGATGAATGAAGGTCTTATGGGTTATAACGACATGAGGGTGAGTACATAATGACAGAATTTTCATTTTTGGGTGAACTAACCCTTTAAATTGTTAATATCAAAGTAGACAGAAGGGCAGATTAAAACAGAGCTCATGTGTTTACCTGATCAGCGAGTGATGTAGACAGCATGCTCATGAGCTCTCTCTCTGCCGTCAGCCGCCACATCTGCTCCCACTTTAGCTTCCTCAAACGATCCAACAACAGCAGAATCACACCTTCAACACACACACCCAACATCATTTGTTGCCCATTACACTAATTCACACTTATAACATAGTGCCCAGTTCAAAATCACAAAAACATGAATAAACTCTTTAGGAATTTTAGTGTATGTTCTAAAACTGGTCTTCCCCTTCAGGAAAGTCAGATAATTAGAAACCTGGCTGGCGTACCGGTGTTAAAGCCTCTGCCCAGTGCTGGCCATGGCCGATGGTTCTTCCACAGGTTCCCCAGGTACCAATCACTCTGATTCTCCACCAAACCAAGAACCTGCTGACCTGAAATGCACAAACACTCCCACAGTGATATTAATGCATCTGTATTTAATGATCGGTAGCATCTAAGCTATGGTGAACTATGGACAAAAATCTGTGTAGTTAATTTAAAGCTTTCACATGCATTTTGGAAAGGAAATCTTTTTAATTTAAAATGAATGTACTCTTTTGTATTCATGATGGATTCATATGGTTTTGGAAAACTTCAATGATATTTGATATATATATATAATAAATATATATTTATTTTATATATATATTTTATATTTTATATATAGGCTATGTATTTAAAATATATTTAATACACCAATTTTTAATATTAAAATTATGAAAAAGTGGTCTGAATGAATGATTCAATGACTTAAATCAATGAATAAATACTTTGTTTCATTACTGGATAAATCAGTGGTTTTTAACGAATCTCTTAAATGAATGATTCAATAACAAATACATTTTTTAACACTCATTTTTCGCCACCTATTGGCGAAATGATTCAATCGACAAAATTATTTGAAGTTACTTTCAAAAGATGACTTGCTATATTTTGATTGCTAACACATCATTGTTTATATCTGAACTATAAACTTTCATCCCAGTATTTCTGTGATAACATGAATGACTGTAAAACAGAAATAATACTGTGTAGTTGAAAAGAATGTTTGTGAAGCTGTTTCTTACCCAAACATGGTAACTGTCTGCTCTCTGTGTCAGCAGCAGCGCGAACGCAGATTTTAATGTTCTGGTATGAATTTTTCAAAGGTTTAATAGACACAGTCGAATCATTGTCATTTAAAAATGGGATCGCATGGGTGTTTGAATCGAGACTGCGATCTTTAAATAATTAATCGTGCAGCTCTACCTTGAATACATGTGAGTGTATACATCTGAAAAAAGTAAAAAGTAGTTTGGGGAGTCGCACCACATGACATGAAGAACAGCACAAATGGTCAATAAGACAAGGACATCTCAAGCTTTCCTTTCCTTTCCTACTTAAAATCATTGACATCTTTGACTGTGGTTGCTGCAGTCAGTGTCTGGTGGAATGATCTGTGACATTATTGATCTTAGCTGCAAACACATGCCTCATTGAACATTAATGATTGTCACATCTGACAAAACGTTGTCTTGTTATGGCAAGTATTTCTGTGGGATGCACACAGTTTTTAATAGGAATCTTCTGAAAGTTCTTGCATTATTTAATTCAAAACATTAGTGAAGTACAAATGACAAATACACTTAATCATTTCAAGTGAATGTTAATTCAAAAATACCCTTGAACTTGTGGAAGACGACCCACAGCTCAGCGATGTCCGTGGCAAAGGTGATGTCAGTATCCAGGACAATGACCTTCTGTAGATCAGAGGGCAGCGTCTTGGTCAGCACCAGCTTCATCAGGCCGTAGATGCCAGAATAATGCTTGTTAGGGATCCAAGACACCTCAGACTGACAAGCACAAAAAGAGCAAATATAAAAAAAATCTAATGAAATCAAAAACTTCAAGACAGCAATAAAGAAAAAAGCAGGAAACAAATAATCATAAAGGAACACCAATGTATGTAACATCACAGCCCTACAGGTTTTGGAAGTAAAAATTTAATTATTTTTGAAAAGTCTGAAATTATTTTTGAAAAGTCTTGCATGTTCCCACACGGACTAACCAAAATGGTTCTCATGCCAGAGCTGGTCTCTCTCAGGAAAATATGCAATGAAAGCAGCAGAGCATGTTAAACATGGACAACATGGCTTGTCCATGTTTAACAGGTTTATAGTTTCTCCTGTGTGTGGTACATACAATTAAGTGTTACAGTATTTTTACATGTCGGACATTTGCATTCTGATTATTGATGCATAAATAAGCACATTAAAGAACACCGGAAAAGTTAAAAAGATTAGATTTCTGTTAGAAATAGCAATTGCTATCACTGATCTTTGTTAAATTAATCTGAGCTTATTATTCCCTTGTACGATTAGCAATTATTAACAGTTTTGAATTTATGATTTGTGATATTGGTAATATTGAAAGTAGGGGTAGGCAAACAGTTCTTTGTATGAAAAAAAGTATAAACTTAGGACAAAAAAAATTAAATAACAATAATAATAATTGCTGAATCCTCAGCGAAGAACCACCATAATCCTGCAGAGTGATCTATCAATTAAAGAAATTACCCTGGAAAACAGAAATGGAATTCCCATTAAGCACAGTGGATAATTTAGTCAAATCAGGCTCTTTAAACTTTCAAAGTACTTTGTACACAAATTTCAATTTCAACTTCAAATGTCTAGGAGTCAATAGTTTCATAGTTTTATGCTCGTTATATTTGTTTATTTTTATTGTCATACCAGCATCTATGGCTATTTTACCTACACTGAACAAAATTATAAACACAACACTTTTGTTTTTGCCCCCATTTTTCATGAGCTGAACTACATGGGCAACTCGATCCACAACGTTGACATCAGCAAACCGTTTACCCACACGACGCCATACACGCTGTCTGCCATCTGCCCTGTACAGTGAAAACCGGGATTCATCCGTGAAGAGAACACCTCTCCAAAGTGCCAGATGCCATCGAATGTGAGCATTTGCCCACTCAAGTCGGTTACGACGACGAACTGCAGTCAGGTCGAGACCCCGATGAGGACGACGAGCATGCAGATGAGCTTCCCTGAGACGGTTTCTGACAGTTTGTGCAGAAATTC